AACGATTGGTCTCTACTCATCTGGACCAAAAAATAAAGACTAAAATACAAGATTCAGAAAAGGAACTGGTCTGTAGGACTAATCATCTACATGAACCACTGCTTCCTCTACCCTGAGACCAGAAAAACTAGATGGTGCCCAGCTACCACTGCAGAAATCTCTAATCAAGTCCACAATAGATGGATCCTGACAGAAAGGGAGAAAAATGTGGAGCAAAACTTCAAATTCTCAAAAACTCCAGACTTACTGGACTATTGAGACTGGAGGACTCTCCAAAACTATTGCCCTGATACACTCTTTAAGCCTTGAACAAAAACCATCCCCTTATGCCACCTTTTAGCTAAACAGCAGGTTAGTTCATAAAGTAAAAGAATATCACCCTTGAGTAGTGTGCTCTTCTAAAAAAAATCTTCTATATAAGAAAAATGGTCAACAATTACTCTAAAGCATAGATGAGAAGTTTAGGGGACAGTCAGACTAGGTTACTGGGAATGAAGCAAGAAGAATGAAAATAATGAGAATGTTGACACAATGTGAGGGATGTAATCCACGTCACTGAGCAATACGTGTAGAAATTCTTGAATGGAACCTGTTTTTCTGTGTACACTTCCACCAAAAATACAACAAAATACTATTTAAAAAATAATTAAGGCCATACACAAACATAAAAGCAATTCAGTAAGAACTAAGGAGGTAAGGGAGGAAGGTCTTTTGAGTCCAAATGTTCAAGAGCCTTAACTGCAAGGTTCAGGAACCTTGACTTGGTCCCAGTGGTAGTGATAAGGCAGCCTGAGGGTTCAGGACTGCTGTGTACAGATATGCTATCGAGAGTTACAAATGGACAGAGACTTGGGAATGGGTGCCCACATTTTCCTCCCAAGATACTCCGTCTTTCCTTTGTCATTGAGTCCTCAAACATGTTCCTCTCTCAAATATACTCCACCTTCTCCGTACTCAGACCCCATATACCATTTCCTTCCTTCCACACCAGACCTTCCCAACAGTCTCCAGGGAGAGGAACTTCTACAGTTTCGATGGACTACACAGGGAACACCTGTAGGGACTTCTACTGAAAACCTTGCTCCAGGGATCCATGGAACAAGGCTGGGGTAGAGAAGGACAGCTTTATCAACTAGAGCAGGGACACTCTGGTGCACAAAACAGACAGGCCAAAAGAGAGCAAATGACACCTCTGCCTCCAAGACCTTCATTACTGCAGGAGAATAAGTGTCTCTTCTGCAAACTTATCTGAACTTATATTTTTGGGTTTTTTTCTTGTAGTTTAGATTAATGCATAAACAGGGCTGTGGGTTTGGGGTACAGATGGTGGGAGGGGAGCACATTGTCTACAGAGACCATGTACCTCTAGCTATAGAATCCCACTTAGAAAACAAGAAAGATCTTGTAGGAACTTATAGGTAAGTGGAGACTTGGAGATGTAGGGAAATTTATGATGTTTAAGGTTTCACCATCTAGCAGTTTCCCAGGCCACTGAGTTTCAGATGGATTAGAGAAGAAATGGAGAGAGAAAGATCACAATGTCATAGCAGGACAACAATGCTTTGGGAATAAGGACAGTGGGTCTCTTTTCAGCATTCCCATGAACTAGTAGAAAGGTTGCAGGAAGTTGATTTTACCTTTCTGCATTTTAACTTCATCATCTGTTAAAAGATGTGATGGTAATAGTGAGCCCGAACCTTATTCACCTTTATATTCTCAATGTCCCACACAGAGGATGGCATATAGTAGTGTTATGCATTAATTTGTATAAAAAATTTATGTTGTCAATCCTAACCCCTACACCTGTAGCTGCCAGTGATAGTATAATATCCATATACCTACAAGGAAGGCCAGTTAATATGACTATAATTCAAATTTATGCACCTACCACTAATGCTAAAGGTGAGTAAATTGAAGATTTTTACCAAATCTGCAGTCAGAAATTGATCAAACATGTAATCAAGATGCATTGATAATTACTGATGATTGGAATGTGAAAGCTGGAAACAAAGAAGAAAGTAGAGTAGTTGGAAACCACGGGCTTGGTAATATAAAGGATACCAGAGATCGCATGATAAAATTTTGCAAGACCAACAATTTCTACAGCAAATACCTTTTTCACCAGCATAAAGGGTGACTACGCAAGAGGACCTTGCCAGAAGGAATACATAGGGATCAAATGGACTACATCTGTGGAAAGAGATGATTGAGAAGCTTACTATCATCAGCCAAATTAAGTCCACGGGACGACTGTGGAACGGACCATCAATTGCTCATATACAAGTTGAAGCTGAAGCTGAAGAAAATTAGAACAAGTCCAAAACAGCCAAAGTATGACCTTGAATATACTGCACCTGAATTTAGAAACCATCTCAAGAATAGATTTGATGCATTGAACACTAATGCCCTAAGACTAGACCAGTTGTGGAACGACATCAAAGACATCATATATGAAGAAAGCAAGAGGCCATTATAAAGACAGGAAAGAGAGAAGAGACCAAAATTGATGTCTGAAGAGACTCTGGAACTTGCCCTTGAACATAAAGTAGTGAAAGAAAACAGAAGAAACGATGAAGTAAAAGACCTTAACAGAAGATTTCAAAGGGCAGCTCGAGAAGACAAAGTAAAGTATTATAATGACACGTGCAAAGACCTGGAGATATAAAATCAAAAGGGAAGAACACCTTTGGCATTTCTCAAGGTGAAAGAACTGAAGAGAAAATTCAAGCCTCGAGTTGCAATATTGAAGGATTCTACGGGTAAAATATTAATTGACCCAGGAAGCACCAAAAGAAGATGGAAGGATACACAGAGTCACTATACCAAAAATAATTGGCTGACATTCAAATATTTCAGGAGGTAACATATGATCAGGAACTGATGGTACTGAAGGAAGAAGTCTAAGCTGCTGTGAAGGCATTGCCGAAGAAAAACCTCCAGGAATTTACGGAATACCAATTGAGATGTTTCAACAAACAGATGCAGAGCTGGAAGAGATCACTTATCTATGCCAAGAAATTTGGAAGACAGCTATCTGGCCAACAGGCTGGTAGAGATCCATAATTGTGACCATTCCAAGGAAAGGTGATCCAACAGAAGGTGGGAATTGTTGAACAATATCCTTAATATCACACACAAGTAAAATTTTGTTGAAGGTCATTCAAAAATGGTTGCAACAGAACATCAACAGGGAACTTCCAGAAATTCAAGTTGGATTTAGAAAAGCATGTGGAATGAGGGGCATCATTACTGATGGAAAGTGGATCTTGGCTGAAAGCAGAGGACACTAAAACGATGTTTACCTGTGTTTTATTGACTATGCAAAGGCATGTGACTTTGTGGGTCATAACAAATTATGGACAACATTCCACGAATGGGAATTCTAGAACACTTAATTGTGCTCATGTGAAACCTGTACATAAAACAAGAGGCAGTAGTTCCAACAGAACAAGGGGGTACGGTGTGGTTTCAAGTCAGGAAAGGTGTGCGTCAGGGTATATACTTTTACCATACTTATTCATTCTGTATACTGAGCAAATAATTTGAGAAGCTGGACTATATGACAAAGAATGGGGCATCAACATTGGAGAAAGACTAAGTAACAACCTGCATTATGCAGATGACACAATCTTGTTAGCTGAAAAAGAAGACTAGAAGCATTTGTTGAAGAAGCTCAAAGACTACAGCCTTCAGTATGAATTACAACTCAATGTGAAGAAAACAAAAATCCCACAACTGGACCAATAAGCAACATCATGAGAAACGGAGAAAAATTTGAAGTTGTCAAGGATTTCGTTTCACTTGGATCCTCAAACAACACGCATGGAAGCAGCAGTCAAGAAATCAAATGACTTATTGCATTGGGCAAATCTGTTGCAAAAGACCTTTTTAAAGTGTTAAAAAGTAAAGATGTCACTTTAAGGACTAAGGTACACCTGACCCAAACCATGGTGATCGCCTCATATGGATACAAAAGCTAGACAATGAATAAGGAAGTCCAAAGAAGAATTGATGCCTTTGAATTGTAGAGTTGGAGAAGAATATTGAATATACCACAGCCTGCCTGAAGAATGAACGAATCTTTCTTGAAAGAAATACTGCCAGAACCCTCCTTAGAAGAGAGGATGGCAAGACTGTGTCTCACACATTTTGGACATGTTATCAGGAGGGACCAGTCCCTGGAGAAGGACATCAAACTGGGTACAGTAGAGAGTCATCGAAAAAGAAAAAGACCCCCAATGAGATGGGTTGACACAGTGGCTGCATCTATGGGCTGAAGCACAACAACAATTGTGAAAAAGGCACAAGACTGGACAATGTTTCATAGCATCACTGTGAGTGCGAACTGACTTGATTTCACTTCACAACAGCAATATACCTGTGGTTATAATCCCATTCGGGAATGATTTTCTTTGTTATGTTAATAAGGCACTATTAGTGTAGGGTGTGTCTTACATTGATCTCTTTTGAGATATAAAAGGAGCAGATTAAGAAATTAGAGATGGAGGAAGATAGATGCCGTGCCACATGAAGATCACCAAGGAGCCAAGGAATAGAATCTGAAGAGAGAAAAGGACCTTCCCTCAGAGCCAACAGAGAGAGAGCATTCCCCTAGAGATTTCACCCTGAATTCAGTCTTCTAGTCTCCTAAATTGTGAGAAAACAAATTTCTGTTTGTTAAAGCCACTCACTTGGGATATTTATGTTACAGCAGAACTATATAACTAAGGGAGTAGGTGATTAGTAAATTTATATTGATTTGATTGAATGAATGACTAAATAATCTTCAAATTCTCTCTTAATATAGTTTTTTAATTCTATATTCACTTTCTTACTTACCAGACATCTCAAGAGAACACTCATAACATCAAGCAATGACCACTCTTGGACAGACGTGTGGTGCATGATGGAACACTTTATTTAGATACTGTTTTCAGGCATGGGAAGAAAGTGATGTTGACTGGCTTGGGATTGGTCATGGAGAGGGCCCAGGAAGGTGTCTAGTTGGCATTGATTTTCTGATTAATCCACCTCACGTAGTTCCAGACCTTGGTGTAGACTCCAGGTTTGCCTTCCAGAGCACAGCCGTCGCCCCAAGAGACAATGCCCTGAAGCTCTCCATTGCAGACCACGGGGCCACCAGAGTCACCCTAAGCAAGAGCAAAGAGACAGTCAGGACTCTCACCTGGGTCTAAACCCATTGCCATAAAGTCCATTCCGACTCATACCAAACCTATAGTACAGAGTAGAACTGCCCCATAGGGTTTCCAAGGAGCGCCTGGTGGCTTTGAACTGCTTAACCTTTGGTTAGCAGCAGTAGCTCTTAACCACTATGCCACCAAGTTTCCCTGGGCCTACATGGGAGAAATTTAAGTACAGGCCTCAATTAGCCTGGGACCATCTTCCTAGGCTGCCATCCTCAAGGAAGCACCTTCTTGTCTCTTGGAAATCCAACCCTCAGTCTCCATGCTCTACACCTATCCCTCCAACTATCTCCTTTTAGCTCCTTTTCTTTCCACAGCTGCAGTCTTCTGGGGCCAAGAAGACTGAGGACTGGGGAAATTTAATATCATGCAGTTATTCCTACTCCTTCCAAAAGGGCTCCTTTCCACAATATACTCCTGTAAAATTCACCCTGACGTACTGTTGACCGGCTGTCTTCTGTGTATCTTGGTAATGGTTACCAAAAACGAAATACCAAAAAAGAAAATCTATAATTCTCCCAAAGCTATCCCTCAACTTTCAGTATCAGTCCCACAGTCCTATAATTTATCCTATAACTATCTGACTCTCCTCATAATCAACCCTCTGTATTCAAGAAAAATGAAAATATGATGGAACGGAGTGGGATTGAGATTGGGAGAATAAGGGCAGAGAAACGAACCTGGCAAGAGTCCTTGCCACCTTCCAGGAAGCCCACACATATCATGTTGCTGGTGATCTCGCCTGGATAGGCATTGTGGCAGTCACTGTCAGAGAGGATGGTGGCATTCAGACACTGCAAGAGGTCTGGGTAGTTGGCTGTTGGGGGAAAGAGTGAAAACGGAAGATTACCCACACGATTCCTGGAAGTTCCTTCCCAATATCTCTCCCTCCTTCCCAACACTTCCAGTCTTTCTCTCAGATTGCCAAAGCCTTCTAGTTAGGGAGAACAATGCTGTTTTGGAATGTTCTAACCAGCAAGCTCTTCTCTCTCTGACATGAGCCTCACTGACCACAGGCCTCAAATCTAGAGACTTTATTCTCAAGCAGGTCTACACTACAGGCAGTACCAAATCCCATAGCCTCTGTTCTGCTGACCTCTCCAGTGCCTAGTTCTCTCAGCATCACTAACCACCTTTCAGTTGAATACCTTGGGATCTTTGTCATGGTTCATTTTTGCAGTATCTTCTGCATGGTCACAGCAAAGGGATCTTCCCCATTTCTGTTAATATATTCTAAGACTCCATATTCCCCACAACTGTCCTCTGGGAACCTTGTGTTGAGTGGCAGCTTGAACTAAGGGACCCTCAGCATGCCTGCTCCGGCTAGGACTCTCAGACTGTACATTTTAGTTCCAGGGGCACTTACTGCCATTGCTTTCAGTGTTGCCCCAGCCGGATATGAGGCATTCGGTGCCGGCAAGGGGGGCGGATGTTGGTAGAGAGACAGTGGACACCCAAGAGTTGATGGTAGCAGCGTGCTTCAGTTTAATCAGCATGATGTCATTATCTAAGGTGGCTGCTTTGTACTTAGGGTGGCGGATGACCTTGGCCGACCTAATGGACTGCTCATGGTCTTCATAGGCGTTGAGGTTGTGTTTTCCCAGAAATACCTGGATTTTTCTGGGTTGAAGGATTAAAAGTTTCTTAAATATCCATCTTCACATCACTGCACCTCCGAACTGCCCCCGTCAGGAGCACAAGCACTGACACCAGCCCTTTTGACTGTTCACTCCCACAGGTGATTGTGCACTTAAGGTAGACCTAGGGGACACAGTGAGGTGAGACTAGTCCCTATGTGTCACCATGAGCACAAACTCACATCCTCCATCTTGTTAGACTAGACAGGTATAGGAAAGTGATACAAATGACCCAGATAAAAAATTGGGAAGAGGAAAGGGCATTGGTAGTTGATCAGCACATGCCCTTCCTTCTCTGTTGGATTATTGATTATTGTAGAGAGATGAGGCAGGAATCAGAGGTAAGACAGACTATTGGAGAGGAAAGCACATTCGTGGTTGATCAGCACCTGCCCTTCCTCTTCTGTTGGATTACTGATTATTGTAGGAAGATGAGGCAGGAGTCAGAGGTGAGACAAAATATTAAGGGGACAGAATGATTCATGCTTATTTTTAATGTCATACTGGACATTTCACATACTTTATTTCCTCAACATGCCATTTTTTTGGCTGAGTTATAGTGTATAGTGACTAGGATTACTTCCTGATTCATGTTCCCAAGGTCTTTCTGGGGATACTTCACCACCCACCACTCCCCCTCCACACACCCCCATGTCATTAATTCAGTTATTTGGGTGGATATCAAGGGAAACCTGAAGGTCCCTTTCCATGGGGAAGATCTTCTTCACACCATACAACACCTGGGAGAACAAAAGAACCCTTAGAAGCTGGATGCTTCACCCCTCAAGCCTGACTCTGTAGGGCTCCCTGGCTTTGCCAAGGCTGGGGGATGCACAGATCTTTAATCACAGGGACTCGTTGATGGCACTTACCTGTTGTAGCAGTGACCCGCAGACACCACCCACCGGTCTCTGATGAGGGTGCCGCCACAAAAGTGATAGCCCCAGTACAGGGATGCCTGGTAGGGGACGAACTTCTCCTGACACGTGTAGCCCCCAACAATCCTGTCAACATCATCAATGGTGAAAGCAACTGACAAGGAGAAAGTTTGGAACAACCTGTAAGGCAGATCCTTCTTGGAATTTCTACTCCACCATGAAGTTCTTGCAGAGTAGTAAGAAAAAAGATTTCAATGTTCTCTTGTTTCACATAATCAGGGAATGTCGATTTTCACGTTAATTTGTCTCAAAATCTTATTGTCCCATATCTTTAACATGTACCCTACTTATACCATTATGATAAAACAAAAAATCCCTTGCCGTCTAGTCAATTCCGACTCATATCGGCCCTACAGGACAGAGTAGAACTGCTCCACAGGGTTTCCAAGAAGTGGCTGGTGAATTCCAACCGCCAGCCTTCTGTTTAGCAGCCAAATGCTTAACCTCTGCACCACCAGGGCCCCACCATTATGATGTAAGTATTTTATTTTCAGTTTGTTCTTTAAATTTGGTAAATAGGTTGATCTTTATCTGTGTACCATACACACACACACAAACAAACACACAGATTGGAGACCCCTTACACCACTACCTGAGGTATAAAGAACACTTTTCACAGAGCCCTGCTCAGCAGCCCTGCAAAGGGGTTTTCAATAAAGCTTTGCATTGTCGTCGGGTGTTTCTTTTTGGTGGTTGGCATATGATCTCCCCATGAGATAAGGATAAAGAGGGGCTTAGAGGCTACCTGAGAAAGCTCTGACCTGGACGGAAGACGGAGTTTTTTACTTCTGTTCCCCAAAATTCTCACTTGTCTTTAGCCTAAAGCTTTCACAAAGTCATTTCACAAAACATTATCAGGACTCTCTCCACAGCCTTTCCCCCTATTCCAATTATCTTTACAACATTCTTCAACTAATCTAGCATTATGAAGATAGGCCTTCTAATTCATCAAAATTTCCTTCGACTTCAAAAGTCTATGCTTATTTATATGAGCCCTCTTGTACAAGTATTTTAAAATAATTTTAAAGAAGAAGTTCCCAGGTTTCTAGACAGATATACTGGAATTATGGCTGCCCAAACTGGGAAAATTTAGCATTCAGTTTTTGTAGTATAAAATTTAGTAATCTAAAATAGAAATAGTAACTTCTCTATTTCTTTTCTGGATTGAAAAACATACTATTTTACACTAGAGAGAATTCACTGACAATGATGTTATAAACAAAAACCATAGCTTTTATTCATGAGAAATAAAATGTCTCCACCTCCTAAGATCCTGTCAATGGAGTCCTTTACAGAAAGACCTGGACTTCGACACTAATAGACTCTGCAAGGAGCCCAAGATTAGTCCCAATTACTGGTGCAAATAGTTGAGCACTGGACTACCAACTGGAAGGTTGCCAGTTCAATTCCATCCAGAGGCACCTGGTGATCTACTTCCAAAAAATCAACCATTGAAAACTTTATGGAGCACATTCTACTCTAACACAGTTAAGTGCACCATGATCAGACTTGACTCAACAGCAAATATATACATATATGTTTGTAAATATATTGTCGTGATTATCTATTGCTGCTATAACAGAAATACCACAAGTGGATGGCTTTAACAAAGATAAATTTATTCTCTCACAGTCTAGTAGACTACAAGTCCAAATTTAGGACATTAGCTCCAGGGAAGTCTTTCTCTGTCAGCTCTGGAGGAAGGTCCTTCTCATCAATCATCCCCTGGACTAGAAACTTCTCCACACAGGATCCTCAGGTCCAAATGACTCACTCTGCCCCCAGCACTCCTTTCTTGATGGTATGAGGTCCCCATGTCTCTCTGCTCGCTTCTTTCTATTATATCTCAAAAGAGATTGGCTTAAGACACTAATATGGTGGACCTCATTAATATAACTGCCACTAATCCATCTCATTAACATCACAGTGATAGGATTTACAACACATAGGGAAATCACATAAGATGCCATAATGGTAGACAATCATACAATACTAGGAATCATGACCTAGCCAGGTTGACAGATATTTTGGGGGAACACTATTCAATCCATGACATATATATATATGTATACATATATAAAATTATGTATGTATATATATATTTTTACTAACACCGACTACTTAGAAATATCAAGAGAGAAACTTCCTTAATGAGGACTACTTTCCTTGCCTCTCATTCTTCATAGCTTGTACCTGTACACTGAAGTTCAAGGCAAGTCATGCCTCTTTACGCTTCCTCTCTGGTCACTCCTGCTGACCGTGATCTTCCTGACTTGCAGCACTTGAACCCAACAAGTGAGATTTAAATGCCTATAAGCTTATGTATTGTACACGGCTGTTCCAACATGCTAGACTTCTTGACTACTTAGACTATGTTTAATACTCATTGTTGTCTTCCAGAGCACAAACTTAAACACGTGATAGACCCCTGTGATGGACACCTACGGATTCATTATGAGAGACTCACCAGCAGCTCCCAGGACAGTGAGGAAGATGAAGGCCTTCATGGTTGCTCACTGGATCCAGGCTGGGGAATAAGATAAAGGGGTCTCCTCCACAGCTATTTATAACTCCAGACAGGTCATTAGCACCCATGGTCACAGGTGCTGGAAATGTGATTCCACTGGAAACTCAAAAATCCAAATTTAGAATTCAAATCTTTGTCAGGTGGAGAATAATTCAGCATCACAAGTAATCATCCGCCCTTGTCCACTTTTACAGAATGTTATGGGAATGGAAGTAATGAGCCCACCTGTTGGGAACTGTTCCATACAAGAGGAAAGTAAGTTGGAGTGAGACCACAGGACATAGCTACAGGTGTCCTGATTCCCAAACAAAAATCTTAGTTACTTGTTTTTCCTTGCTATGTACAGCCATCTGAAGCACTATCTTGCACCTGCACTCTTGATGTGTAATTAATACTGGCTGTTCTACTATTTCAACCCTTAATCTTGTGGTAACTCAAGTCTTGTGTATCCATATAAACTTGTCATTATCTATAGGAATAACCTGTTCCCTTGAGGAAAGAAAAAAATGTTCTTATTGGAAAGTACAACAGGTCAAAAGAGGAAAGTAAAAAATTATAATGCTCATTGCCGTCGAGTAGATTCCAACTCATTATGGCTCTATAGGATACAGTAGAACTGCTTTGTTGGGCTTTCCAAGGAGTGGCTGGTGGATTCCAACTGTCAACCTTTTGGTTAACGACCGAGCTCCTAACCACTGCAGCACCAGAGCTCCAAAAATGATAATAACTTGCATTTTCTAGAGCTTACTACGTGTCAGGGATGTTCTAAGTCCTTTGCCTATATTACTTAGTAATTCTCCAAAGACCCTTCAAACCAGTTGCCATCAAGTCAGCTCCAGCTTATGGCAACCCCATGTGAGTCAGAGTAGAACTGTGCCACACAGGGTTTTCCATAGCTGATTTTTTAGAAATAGATAGCTAGGCCTTTTTTCGAAGACACCTCTGGGTAGATTTGAAACACCAACCTTTCGGTTAGTAGCCAAGTACTTAACCGTTTGCACCTGCAAAGTACTCCAACAATCTTATAAGATACCTAATATTATCCTCATTTTACACATGATAAAACTGAGCACAGAAAAGTATAAAGGACTTAACCAAAATTGCACAGCGAGTACATGATTGGGTCAGGATTCCAACCCAGGAAATCTGGCTTCAGAGTCTATATTCCTAATCCTATGCAACACTGCTGTAGTCAGGTCACCAACATTTTGTGACATAAATAATACGGAATTATCGAACGAAGATGATAACACGTGAAACATATGGTGTGTTTTCTATGTCAGGCACTGTGCATCACCTCATTCCATCCTCACAACAACCCCCTAAGTGCTGTGCTATTATTCTCACCATTTTAGGGATGGGGAGGGTGAGCCTTAGAGAAGTGAAGAGTTTCGCTTACAGTTTCACAGCTTGTTGAAAACAACCGTTTCCTGAGGGCTGGGGGAAATTCCAAGGATTACATTGAATACAAGTAGAAAGTGATTAGATTGGGCTCTTCAGAATAAGTGAATATCCATAAGGCTAAAGACTTTTGAGTTTCCATTCTGTGATGGTTAAGGTTATGTGTCAACTTGGCTAGGCCATGATTCTCAGTGGTTGGGCAGATATTATGTAATCATCCTCCAGTTGTGATCTGATGTGAGCAGCCAATCAGTTGAAATGGAAGTTTACTTGGTGGTGTGGCCTGAATACAATATATAGGAATGTTCTGACAAAGCTTTCCCATTCTTTTTTTTTACTTTGTCGAACAGAAATTTATTCTCTCACAGTTTAGGAGGCTAGAAGTCTGAATTCAGGGCACCAGCTCCAGGGGAAGTCTTTCTCTCTCTCATCAGCTGTGGGGAAGATCCTTGTCATCAATCTTCCCCTGACCTGCGGGCTTCTCAGCACAGGGACCCTGGGTCCAAAGCACATATTCCAGTCTCAGCTCCTGTTTCTTGGTGGTATGAGGTCCCTCTTCTCTGCTTGCTTCTCTCTCTCTCTCTTTTTTTTAATTAAATTTTTTTATTGTACGTTAGATGAAGGTTTACAGAACAAATAGTTTCTCATAAAACAGTCAGTACACATATTGTTTTATGACATTGGTTATGAACCCCACTACATGTCAACACTCCCCCTTCTTGACCTTGAGGACCTTTTTCTTGGTGAAAATATACATAGCCAACGTTACACCATTTCAAAAGTTTCTACATATACAATTCAGTGACACCGATTACATTCTTCCAGCTGTGCTGTTATTCTCACTGTCCTTTTCCAAATTATTCCATCACCATTGTCTTCAACTCACTGTCCCCTAGGCTTCCCATCAAACCTTTTGAGTTTCTGTTGTCAATTTGATCTCACATAGATAATTCTTTCTTTTTTTTTGTACCTTAGATGAAGGTTTGCAGAACAAACAGTTTCTCATTAAACAGTACACATATTGCCATATGACAATGGCTGACAACCCCACGACATGTCAACACTGTCCCCTCTCAGCCTTGGGTTGCCTATCACCAGCTTTCCTGTCCCCTCCGGCCTTCTAGTCCTTGTCCCGGGATTGCTGTGCCTCATTAGTCCTGTTTTGTTTTATGAGGCTGTCCAATCCCAGGCTGAATGGTGAACTTCGGGAGGAGCTTCATCACTGAGCTAAAAGGGTGTCCAGGGGCTATACTCTCGGGGTTTCTCCAGTCAGTCAGGCCAGTAAATCTGATCTTTTTTTTGTGAGTTAGAATTCTGTTCTACATCTTTTTCCAGGTCTGTCCAGGACCCTCTATTGTGATCCCAGTCAGAGCAGTCAGTGGTGGTAGCCGGGCACCATCTAGCTGTGCTGGACTCAGTGTGGTGGAGGCTGTGGTAGCTGTGTTCCATTAGTCCTTTGGACTAATCTTTTCCTTGTGTCTTATTCTCTTCGTTCTACCCTTGCTCCAGAAGGGGTGAGACCAGCGGAGTATCTTAAATGGCTACTCATAGGCTTTTAAGACCACAGATGCTACTCACCAAGGTAGAATGTAGAACATTGTCTTTATAAACTGTGTTATGCCAATTGAACTAGATGTTCTCCGAGATCATGGTCCCCACAGCCCTCTGCCCAGCAATTCAGTCCCTCAGGGAGTTTGGATGTATCTAGGGAGCTTCCATGACCTTTCCTTGTACGAGTTGTGCTGGCTTCCCCAGTAATGTATACTGTCTTACCCTTCACCAAAGTAACCACTTATCTATTTAGTTCCCCCTCATCCCTCCCGTCCCTTGTAACCAACAAAGATTGTTTCTTTTTGTGTGTAAACTTTTATATGAGTTATAGAGTAGAGGTCTCATACAATATTTGTCCTTTTGTGATTGACATTTCACTCAGCATAATGTCCTCCAGTTTCATCCATGTTATGAGATGCTTCACAGATTCATCATTGTTCTTTATCTTTGTATAAT